TTCTAAAGTAATCATCAACGGCAATAGGAGCATCATTTTCAACTTCAACAGTAACAGTTGAAGAAGCAGTGTCATTACCATCTGAGATTGTGTAATTAAACTTTTCAATACCATTGAAACCAGTAACAGGAGTGTACAAGAAACCATTGTAAGTGTCAACTTCAATGGATCCCAAACTTTGAGCATTACCACTGATAACTTGTTGATCAGCGAAGCCAGTAACATACAAGACATCATTATCGATATCACTAATTCTTTCATCATTGTCACCAACATAATTGAAAATATCGACAAGGGCCTTATGAGCATTCTTGGAAATCTTCTTATAGATTGGAACAGCTTGAGGAGGTCTATTCAAAACTTGAACAGTAACAGTAGCATTGGCTGTAACAAAGGAATTACTAACTTCATAACTGAAAGTGTCATTTCCAGAGAAAGAACCAATGGATTGATAAACAACTTGGGAACGAGAAAGGATCTTGACAGTACCATACTTTGGTTGATTAACAATTTGAGTCAAAGTAAGATTACCACCACGTGGATCGTTATCATTTATGAGTACATCGACAGTGACTGGCATTCTCTTATAAGTAGAAGCAAAGTCATTGGCACTGTGAAAAAGAATTTAGATTCGTAAATTAATTCGAATAAATTAGATAATACTTACGCAACTGGTGGATTGTAACCAACACCAACAGAAACCAAGATAATGGTTGCAACGGTTGAAGCAATTACCAAAGCTGTAATAATTGCACCAATAATTGTTTGGGTAATAGTACCACCTTTCTGTTAATTCGAATTCGCAATAGATATTTGTGTATATTAAACATTTTCGCATGGAGTGTGAAAAATTATTGAACGCCAAATGTCAAAAGTATAGTGCGCAAGCAAGTGTCAGACAATAAACAAAGTGAAATCTACATACCAACAATGAAAGGTTGAAACCAACTGCATGTTTAGCAGCGGTTGTGCTACCAAGTACAGTATTAGCCATATAATATTCTGATTTTTTTTTAATGATGAAGAAATGGTTATGATAATAATGGATGCCGTTAAAAGAAAGGAAACAGCTAATAGGTGACTCATACGATTCCAAGTCGTTATTTGGGATGACTCGCCTCATGATGGTGGGATAGATGATGGATTTTAACCTGTTGCATTTCCGACACTGACAGGTTGAAACTGAAAGCTCGCATGGTTGATATTGAAATTTGCTTCTCTTGTTGATTCGCTGAGGTTTTGTAAGTCACCAAATATTTGATAATAGGTTCCGTTTTGTTAATGATTATCTTATTGAGGCAAAATGATAATTTTCTATTGAGGAATGAAATTGGCCAAATGAATACAAATAGGAAGGCAAGATTCGGAAGGGATTTAAAGGCAGGTGAGATGAGTTATTTTCGGTTACCAAAGCACAATAAGAGCTGTGACTTTCATAAGGTGACACCACAGTAAATGACATCGGGTTAGATATCATCAACTTCATAGCGATAATGGGTTTTGAATATTCAATATCGAAAATGTTGTTGTATAGATTGTAATTGCATTTCAACCATTTAAATACATTAAATATCAAAGTTCCTTTCTTGTTGTTTTGTTGGATAATATATATTGGAAAAGCCTTCATGAAGGTTGTCCACTGCATTGCTCTGTTCAGGGGTTCCATAATAATTGTTAGTGCTGAAGTTAATTTTGTTGTTTTAAAAAATAAAAGAGAATGCAAAAATTGAATTAGATGTGATGTCTTCATTGTGAATAGAATTTTGAACATAATATTGGATTTTCATCTTGATTTTTGTTGAGAAAACGACAACAATTTCCTCACCAAACTAATTGTGTCAGGGTAATTTTGCAACTTTTGTGTTCCGTAAATTTAAACTACAAGTTTTCATCAACAGTAATGATTGATCATATTATTTGATAATTAACATGTCCATTATTCTAGAATTGCGTTAGGATTTTTATCTAGCTTGGAACAAATAATTTGATTGGCTTGGAGTTTAATTTGATTATTATTAATTGTGCACTTCACTGATTACTCATCAATTTAAATACCTTTGGTTCCCACACACCTGACGAAATAAAGTTATCTTAAAAGAATATATTAAGGATCATGATATTAATACTATCCAATCTAGCACTTCCTAATTCTCAATGAGTATAATATCGATCACTAGTACATTACTGCGATCCTTAATCGGCAGATTAGTGGATAAAAAAAATATTTAATTAATCATCAGAAAAATGGTCGTTAGAATTGAAAGCAGCAAATCATCAAGTAATTGTAATTTTCATTGTTTATTGTTTATTATTTAAGGTATTAATAACTTTGTGTATAATTAATTGTTTAGGGTTTAATGTTCCTGATGAAATATGTAGTGAAATATTAACCTATTTAACCATGAACGACAGTTCATCATCATCATGGTTCATATTAAATAGTATTGTATTGGTATCCAAGCAGTGGCTTAGAGTGGTGAGGAATCATTCAAAACTCTGCCTTAATTTGCATTCCGAAATGGACAACCAAAGAGCAACGTTCCTCTTAAAGAGTCAATTTTTAGAAAATATTGTCGATTTAATAATTGATGGAGACTTTGATCAGCCACTAATTGATGGTGAATTGTTTTTGGATTGTCTTGAAAGGATGATAAATTTGGAACATTTATCAATTTCCTGCAATAGTATTCGTAAGGGAGAGTTTTTACAAAAACTGGAACAATTGAAATCATTAAGAATGAGTATGAATTGCATGAATATTGAATCCATAAAGCTACCAAAGCAATTGACCTGTCTTGACGTTGAAGAATGTGGAATTAATGTTGACAGAGCAAGTACAATTAGCCAATTAGAACAATTAAGATACCTCAATGTTAGTAACAATGAAATTGGGATTGAGGGAATGAGATTGATTAGTAAAATGAAGAATTTAGAGACTTAAAATGTCAGGATGTAGAATTGGTGATGTTGGAGCTCGAATTATATCTGAGATGATTTAATTGAGAACACTGGATGTGTTAGATAATAGTTTGAGTGAAGAAGGAGCCAAATCAATAAGAAAATTAACCAATTTGACGGATCTTGACATTGGAACAAATGAATTTGGTGCTTTGGGTGCCCAGTTCATTGGTAATTTGAACAATTTAACAAGACTCAATATTTCATACTGTCAATTAAGAGAGGAAGGTATAAGATACATTTGCCAACTCGAAAATTTAACAAAACTTGATGTTTCTAGTAACATGATTGGTCGCGAAGGATCAGAATGTATTGGAAACTTTTAACCTCAGTGTTGAAGGAAATTTAATTGGAAAAGGAGCTTTCCACCTTATACAAGAATTGAAACATTTATCTAGTCTTTCATTGATAGATAATGAAATAAGTGAAGAGGACGAAGAATTGATTCTTACAATGACAAGTGCGTCATCTATTTCAGTATACTTTTAAGAATTCAAAATATAAACAGTTTGTTGAAATCAGTAATTAATCCTATTAGTTTATTAAGGTATTTCCACCAAACTTTCCATTAATATAATTCTTGAATTCTTCTGCTTGTTTTTCATTAAATTTCTCTTCCACATACATGTCATAATAATGATTCATAGCATCTTGAAATATTCTTGTAGAAATGGATTGAACATTTAAATATTTACCAGCAAATTCAATTACAGAGATTAGTCCAGTGGGAGAGAAACATTTAGAGTTTCGACAATTATTAGCCACTCTTCGTATGAAATGATCCAATTTTTTAAATCTAACTCCACAAATATCAACTAATATTTCCATAATTGGTAAATAAAATTCCTCTTCTTCGTAAAAATATTCTAGAATTTCATCGGTTGAATATCTTTCGTCTTGAGTTTCTATTGAAATTATTGCACCCTTCTCCACCATTGAGAGAATATCATTTGCTATTGAAATATTATTCAAATGTGCATTGTAAATCATTTCACACAGCAGAGAACATCCATAAATGGGTTCATTCACAGCATGATTAGTTTCCTCAACAAGAAACAATAGCATTTCATAGTTGAATTTCCCAAAGTTTCGAATAAAATATGGAAGTGAATCTAATTTGAGAGAGAATTCCTTAGTGGCTCTCCTTAACACTGAAATATCATTTAGAGTTTCGTCTGAGAGTAACTTTTTGATAAAGAAACTTTCTTCATACTTTGGCAATGTTTGAATTTCTAATGTCTTGAAATAAAATTCGAAAGATTCCCAAGATCCATTAGCTTGGCTAATGAACTTATTAAAGTGCGGTTCCAGTAAGTATTTTCTAAATCGTTCAGGGTTTCGTTTCTTTACCAACTCTACAAACTTGGTCGAAAGCTCTAAATGTTGTAGCTTTCTCAAGTCAGCACGGGAAAACAGAGTTTTCAAGAAATTATTCGAAACTCCAAATCCCTTACGATCACTCAACTCTCTTTTGAACTTTTGAAGTAATCCTAGCTCCTCATTATCAAAAATCGAATAATGACCCATTCGAAACAAACCCTCTATACATTTCAGTACTGAAATTTCACACTTATTAAATAAAAAATCCAAAATCTCTGTCAAATCTCTAGTTCTATAATCTCTGTTTCTAATATTGAGCACGAAATACGAAGAGAAAATATCTGCTAAACTTAATTTACCAAATTTCATTTTTCCAATTGACTTGAGAGAATATTTCTGATTACTTTCTAATAATTTGATTACTTTCTTCCAAATTGTCGTTCCCTTATTAGTTTCATTCATTTGATATTGTGTTAACATTCGAATAACCTCCAACAGTAAATCTCTTCTCCTATTTTCCTCTACAAACTGTCTAGTTGCTCTCCTATACGAATCTCCATAAATTTCACTCAATTGTCTTCTCTTTTTCAATGGCATTCTGTCAATAATCAAAACTTTCTCTTTCCATCTCAATCTTGACAAGTACATTTTCCTCTCCACTTCCAAATCAATCAATTCATTCATCACCCATTTAAATTCCTCAATTTCTTGTTGAATTTTGTAAAATTCGTGCGCTATTAGAAATTTCAAAGTGGAAAACCAAAACATTTCATAATTTGTTAAATCATGCCAATTTTTACAGACTCGTAAAATATCGTGATCCGTGTGTTTGGGAAGAAATGTGAAAATGTGGTGCAATAATTCGTGTGGTAGATGTTGAGCCATTTTTTTTAAATTTTTTTTGCCAAGTTCATCATTTTGATTTAGATTCGAATAAGATTACAATGAGAGGATTTTTATATTTTCAGTGATTATTCAGTAGTTGTGTTATGATGTGAATTTTGGTTGTTTTCGTTTTGATTGGAAGTAGATAACAAAATATTGCACAACGATTGATCTTCAATTTCTTGTTGTGAATCATTTCCAATATTTGTAAGAATTTCCTTAATTGGTGATGCAATTGAATTCAGAGAATTCTGTCTATTGACTTGCTCTTCCAATTCCAAAACCAATTCTTGATTTCTTTTTGAGCTTTCCTTATAATCATTCTTCTTTTTTTTCAAGGACTTTAGTTGACTAGTCAATTCATTCACCAATTTCATTTGTGTTTCGTACTTGCTATTTAAATCAGAAACCTTGTTTTTCAATTCCTTGTTTTCTTCAGCAAATCTATCACGTTCATAACAAGCTTTGAGTTCACTTGTTTCAAGTTGAGTGCTCTTTTCATCTAAATTACCAAATCTTGTCATTAACTTCTCCATGTTTTGAGTAGTAAGCAACATTTCATTCTCAGCCGTTTTGGTCAATTCAACCACTCTGTCTCTCAATAAATCTCTATCTTGTGAGGCATGTGTTAAAACTTTGATTTCCCCTTCCAACTGCTCGTTTTTTTGCCTTAATTCCAAATATGCCTTTTTATATTTGGCACTTTTCTTCTCTTGTTCTTTCATATTTTTCGTTGCACTCTCAATTTGATTTTCAAGCACGGTAATTATTTTTTGATACGAATTTTTACGTGATTCAAAAAGACTTTCTTTTGTAGAAATAAGTGCATTGTACCAAGAACGAGTTTCTTCCAGATTTTTCAAATTCTCAGTTTGTTGTTCTTTCAGCATTTGAAATTGGTCTTCATTTAGTTGAACTGTCTTTTGAACAATTTCATTCTTTTCCCTCAATTCTTCACACAATTGATTCAACAGATTCAATTCTGCCTTATCTTTTTCAGAGGATTGAATCAATGATTTGTTTTCATCTTGCAATTCATTGATTTTTTCACTGAGATTCTCATTCATATTTCTATGTTTAGTGCACTCCTTCTCATTGCGTGCCAGATCATCAACAAGATTCAAAGTTTTTTCAACTTCCTGAGCCAATTGTTCTTGCAATATTTCAACCTTTTGTTCTAAACCATCCTTTAACAATGCGAATAGTTGATCATTTCTTGTCGTGGATTTTTTACAAGAATCTATTGCAAGACGAATCTGCTCAAATTCTTGTTTTGCCTTTTGGTATTGCTCTTCTGCTTTGTTTCTTTCCTGTTTCAATTGTTCTTGCAATGCTTCGTTCGTTCTCTGCAATTTTCCACTTGATTTCTCTAAGCGAGTCATCACTTCTTCTTTTTGTGATGATTTGGCTTTTCCATCCTCAATCTCCATCATCAATTTATGAACAACTCTCTCACAAATGCAAAAACATAGAAAGATCAAGCTAATTTCCATAAATCTAATGAATCCGAGCACAAAAACAACACATTCCCACCATCTCAACGATCTACAGAATTCCTTCGAGCACTTTCCAAGAGACTACCAAAGGAGAAGGCAAACTTTTCATGATGGGAAAACAGGGTAGACTTTTTAGAGAAGAAAAACACAATCATCATCCACGAAAGAGAAATAATGCCACACCAATGAAAAACACTCTCTGTATCAAGAGTCTCATTGTTGAACAACATTTTTTTCAGTGTTGCGTTGGTGTGTGGGTAATTTGGTGTGTTTTAACACGTTTACGTAATACTTCACGGAAATTGGGGAAAAAACCCAAAAATAAATTATTTAATCATGAGTCTTGTTAAGGAAAGTGAAGAAATCGCACAAAAAAACATTTCAATCAAGTCAACACGTTTGAACATTTTTTGAATGTTTGTGTGTGAGAGTACAATATGGAAAGTGTGGAATAATCATCATCAGTTCATATACAATTCGTTAATAATCACTCTTATTGAAACCTATTTCTAATATTACCAATTGTTTCATTCCACCAAATAGTTTCAATACATTTTCTCCAATCTTGTTACAACTTATATTCAAATTCGTCAGTTGAGTCATTGAGAGAATTGATTGAGCTCCTTCATCTCCAATTCCATTCATGGAAGCATTCAAATACTTGAGATTTTTCATCTTTTCACTTATGGATAGAATTCCTTCATCTCCAATTGCATTCGAATCGACATTTAAATTTGTTAAATTTTGTAAAGTACAAATTGATTTGGCTCCTTCTGGTCCAATATTATTCGAATCAATACGTAGAGTGGTTAATTGCTTCATTTCACTCAGATATTTAGCTCCCTCTGAATCAATATAATTGTAACTGACATTAAGAATTGTCAGCTGTCTAAGCTCACCTATAAATTTTAATCTCTCTGAATAAATTTCATTATTACAAATAATTAATTGAGTCAATTGAGTCAGTTTACCAATATACTTTGTACCCTCTGGTCCCAAATGATTTCCACTAATATCCAAACATGTCAATTGCTTCAATTCACTTATAGACTTTGTTCCTTCTGATCCCAATTGATTGACATTAATGAAAAGACTTGTCAGATTTTCCAATTTACTTATTGATTTAGCTCCTTCTGGTCCAATCCCATTAAATAATATTGAAAGTGATGTTAAATTTTTCATTTCCCCAATAAAACTTGCTCCTTCCACTCCAACTCGATTATAGTCAATTGAGAGCCGTGTTAATTTTTTCACAGCTTGTAAAAATCGAACATCTGCAATTAATCCTGGATTCTCAACTGTAACCTCCATAATATTATCCAAAAATTCGCTTTTCATCAAGTAATCAACTCGTTCATTATTAATTTTATGTTCGAAATTGAGAGAAAATTTGCACCGTTCCTTGATAACCCGAAACCATTGTGAGGAGATTTTTGTGCAATAATTCAAGACTATCCACGAATCTAAAAACGTGGAAATTTCAAAACAAATATCATCGGAGAAAATATGTGTCGAGTCGGTGTGTGAATTGGTTGTGATGGTTTCGTCCATTTTTTTTTAATAATTTCTAATAAAAATTTTAATTGTTGAAGGAATAGTATATTAGTTGACAGCTGCATCATCCTCCTCTCTCTTGTAATAAGTTCTGATTTATGATGAACGACTAATTTTGGAATTTTCCAAATAAGGATAATTTCTAATAATTCTCAAAATCCAAACTCAATATTTCTAATAAAAACTGCCAGAAAAAAATGAATCCAACCTATCCCTACATGTATCATCCAAAACATGCTCACTACAACAAGGAGCATACCAAACATCCACTCAACCTCGTTCCACAACATGAATCGTCCAGCTATTCGAATCAATCCACTGAACAATCACCTCGAATCGAAATTCCCAATCAACAACCTCAACATATCAACGTTAAACTCTTAGAATTTGGTCATATTTACTTCTTTTACAAGCCAAAAGTCATGCAAGAACATGTCAACAATTTGGATCAAGTTCAGAAACTCTTAATGGTACTGAAACCAGATCAATCTCAAGGAGAATTGAAGAATAGAGTGATTATTATTCCAAAGAAGACACTTCCTAAACAGGGAGAGAAAAGACTTGCTATTGTGAGTCAAGTAGATTCGTCTATTGATTCGATTGTAAACGAAAGTTTGTCAGAAGAACATTATGAAACCTTTACGAGAGGAGATAGAGTCATTCACTCGAGTAGACCACTTGCTTTCGGATTGTATGAATTGATTGAACACAATCAGAATCATACTCACCTTTCGTATGTGATTGAATTTCCGAAATTCTTAGAAAATGAATCTCCAAACAAGATTCAAACTCAATTTGGAATTGAACATGCTGGTACGATGGTAGTGAGTGTAAAAAATCCTCAAACTAATCTAAACTATTCGAAAGGTCAAAGTACTTCAAACTTGTACAATCCAAGAGAAGATATTTCAATTCATGGAAAGGAAGAGGAAATTAAAAAGATTTTCGGTGAGAGAAAGTTTCACTCTGCAAACCCACCTTCCTTATTAAGCATTGAGGAAATGCAATTATTATTGATAGGAACAACACTCGACTCAAATGATAGAACTGTTCAACAATGGAGTTTGGAATTGGAACAAGAAGCTCATGAAGAAGTTGATTCGTACATGATAGATTCGAAAGAAGATGAAGACGAAATGGGTGTTGAAGTTATTGAGAAGGAATTGAATTTACCTCAAGATACACTAATGGATTCTCTTACAAAGGGAAAATTCGTCTAAATCATAATAAACTAACTTTTCTTATTCTAAATCCTCTTCAACTTGAACGCACTGGATAAATTCATCATTTGAAAAGACTTGTTTCATTTCTCTTATCATATTTTGGCTCCTTCTTAATCTAAACAATTATGTTTAATATTCAGCGATTTCAATTGAGAAAATCCACCAATAGCACCAGCTCCCCCATTCCTAATTCCATTATTTTCAATTACAAGTTCAGTCAATTGATTCAATTCACCAATTGCCTTTGCTCCTTCATGACAGCTTCTTAATCTCAAGTTTCGTTAACTGTTTCAATTCTCTCAATATTTTCAAATTATCTAAACAAACATTTTCACGTCCTATGAATAAAGTTTTTAAATCTTTAATCAATGAAAGAGAATTCCAGAAATTTCCTCCAACACTTTCAACATTCAAGAAAATTAAATTCTTTAAAAAAGGACTATGGGAAAATAGTTCAATAGATTGGTTGGTGATGCATTTGGTAAAGGTGAGAGAAAGTTTCGCATTTTCTTTGATTATTCGAAACCATTGTTTGGAAATTAATAAACAATTTTTCAAAATAAACCAAGAATCAAGAAATGATGCAATTTCATAACAAATATCATCAGGAAATGGGGAACCTATTCCGACCATCAGATCATCATTTGTTGTACTATCGAATAAAACTGATGAAGAAATAGTTTCATACTATATTCATACTATATTTTTTTGTTTTACTGATTCAAGGATTGCTCCTTCACGGTCATTTCTCTATGTTCTCAATTCGTCCCACCTTAATAAACCAACCGACTTGAATCCATTGTTTTTTGTTCAACTATTGAAAGGAAAACTTTGGCGCCAAATATTTTCCACCATTTAAAAGAAAATAAAAACAATCCGTTTTAATTTAAAAAATTCAAAAAACAAAAAAATGAGCGCTTCTTCGGTTGCACCTCCACCAGCTAAAGAAGCCTTGGTTATTATATTTGATGTTGGTAAATCGTTGGGAACAAGATCGCGGGATGAATTTGAGAAGGCTAAAAGAGCCATTACTCTTCTCATCAAAATGAAGGTTAGTAATTTAATAATAGGAAATTCATTATCATCACCAAATTCATCATCACGATCAATATCTATTTATCATTCGAATGAAACAGATGAGATATAGTCCAAAGGATGAAGTAGGATTTGTTCTTGTTGGTACAAAGAAAACTAAAAATCATCTCAATGATGAATACGAAGGAGAATATGAAAATATTTATATTGAACAAGCTATTGATACGGTATCATTGGATCTTTTTAAAATTGTTGATAGTATTAATATTGACACTATCGGAATGTCACCTGAAGGTGATTTATTTGATGCTGTTATTGTTGCAACAGACATGATCAAGGACAGATGTGGTAAACGTAAATATGCCAAGAGAATTGTTATTGTTTCAGATGCTGGTGGAACTGAAATTTCAGTTGATAATGACACTAGAGAAAATATTTATCAAGGAATGAGGAATCAAGATGTTAAAGTTAATGTTATTGGTTTGGATTTTGTAAATACAGAAGTTAAACTTGAAGATGATAATGGAAAGATTGTTGGAAAGACACCAAAATTGAGAAATGAAATCTTCTTATGTGATATGTGTAAAAATGTTGGTGGTATTGTAATTCCAATTCAACAAGCCATCGATACTCTTTTACTATTCAAGAGTAAAAAGGTCTTGTCAAGAACAACCTTTAGAGGAAATTTAGATATTGCAGGAAATATCAAGATACCAGTTTGGGTTTACAAAAAAACCGAAAAGACCTCTCTTCCAACAGCTAAACGTCTCTCCCTTGTTTCTAGAAGAGCCAACACAGGTGGTGATGGAGATGTTCAAATGGAAAGATGTTACTATTCATACGATGATCCAGATAATCAAATTGAAAAGGATAAGACTGTTAAAGCATACAAGTATGGTAAAAACTTTGTTCCTTTCAATATTGTTAACGAAAAGGCACTCAAATACAAATCATCTAAGGGTATTACTGTATTGGGATTTACAGATGAAAAGAATATAGATAGATCTCACTTTATGGCAGAAACCTATTCATTCATTGCCAAACCAGATGATCCATTTGCACAAATTGCATTATCATCATTTATCAGAGCCCTTTCTGAATTGGAAATGGTCATGATTATTACATATGTATATAGAGACGATCTTGAACCTAAACTTGGATTCTTGTACCCACACATTGGTACAAATTCTGAATGTTTATATTTCAATGCACTTCCATTTGCTGAAGATATCAGAGAGTATCCATTCAAATCCTTCTCTACAGTTAAACATTCTGAGGAACAACTTCAAGCAGCTGAAGATTTAATCAAATCAATGGACTTGATGGATGCTGATGAAGATGAGAATGGTGAAAAATCCGAAGCTATGAAACCAACCTGTATTTATAATCCACTTGTACAACACTTTTATGATTGTCTTCATGTGAGAGCTCTCAAACCTAATGATCCACTGCCTCCTGTTGAACCACTCATTACAAAGTTTTGTTATCCTGAAATGAATCCAGAATCATTCTATTACAAATTAATGGAAAAAACTAAGGAACATAGACTTAAATTCAAATCACTATTCCCAACTAAGGAAGTTGAAGCTGACTCAAAACTAGGAAAGAGAAAATATTGGTTTGCTATGGGAGAAAATGAAATTACACTCGATTCTTACAATTTGGAAGAAGTAGCAGAAAATGTACAAGGCACAGCCCTTCTGGAATCAGATCATGTTGGACAGGTTGTTAAACGTCTCAAGGATGGTGCCTATGATGGTATGAGTGATGCTCAATTCAATGAAGTACAACAACGTGTTGGTCTTAATAATTTATTTATGGAACAAGCCAACTCTGTCAAGACAACAAATCCAACAAAGGATTTCTCAGAAATGCTCAACAGAAAGGATGTGGATATGGTCGATAAAGCCATTCAAGAAATGCAAGTTGTCATATTTAAATTGGTCAATGATTCTATTGAAGATCAATACTATGAAAAAGTCTTGGCCTGTATCAAGACATTGAGAGAAGGTTGTATCAGAGAAGCTGAACCTAATCAGTTCAATAACTTCTTAAAGAAACTCAAACAATCCTATTCTAAGGGTAAGAGAGAAGATTTCTGGTGTTCCTTCATTGTACAAAATAACATTTCCCTCATCACTCAAGATGAATGTGATGAAAGTGAGGTAACAGAAGATGAAGCCAAGAAATTCCTCACTGAAGCCGTTATTGCTGCTGTCATTCAAGAAGAGAGTGAGGATGAAAAGATTGGTGATAATGATCTCTTTGATCAATTGGAATAAATAACATTGTTTTCAAATACTCCTTACCAAATAATATTAATTAAAATTGTAAAACATACACAAAAAAATGTTCAATCCTTCAACAGCAGGATTTCATCCCTTTGGAAATCCAAATCATCAGCAACAACAACATGCAATCTCGGGAGCACCACCAACACAACAGACAACACCTCATTTGAATGTTGGTGTACAACAAGGTATCATTGGACATAATTCCTCCCCATCCTCCATCATGATGAATAACAATAGAAAAAGTCTCCTCGATAGCCTTCATCAACAACAACCAAATAATAATAATATTACACCAAATTCAAGTCTTTCATCTCCAACAGCAGCAACGAACGGAATGATGAATGGATTTCAAAGTAGTCTATTCTACACTAATACCAATCATAATGTTAATAGTAATAATAATAATAACAACAACAATTCAATTCTGGGAGGAAATAATCTCATTCCAGGAATGAATTATTCTCACTTTGTACAGCCACATACAAACAATAATACGAATAATAATAACTCTCTGTTGAATCTTTCTCAACAACAACCAATATCAACGAATAATCCACATAATGATGGCTTTCAATTATTGGGAAATAACAAGTTATTCTCTCATTCTCCGAGTAATAATAACAATTTAGCAAGCAATCTCTTACGAAATAATAATAATTTATCCAATAGTAATTTGACAAATACAAATTCAAATCCATTTGGATTGTCCTTGTTGGGTTCCTCTACAACAGAACCTATTGGCACAAGGAATCATGTAATGAATGCTCCTCCCATGGGAAATATGGTCAACAATGGCCTTGTGAATAATAATTTGGGTAACAACTCCTTTAATAATGGCCTGACTGGTAATTTAAACACTGGTGGAAGTAGTGGTTTACATGGCGGATTGGTCAATAATTTGAACAATCCTTCTAGCTCCCTGTTATCATCATTTCACAATGATTTTGGAAATAGAGCCTTTCAACAACAGCAACAACAACAATTTAATAATCTAAATCTATCTATGGGCAATACAAATAGTGCTCTTGGATGGAATAATAATATTGGTGGTGGAAATAATCTTGTTGGATTTAATACAACAGGCAACAATGGTCTTGGAGTGAGTAACTCGGCTAGTGGTGGTTTAATGAACAATAACCCAAATGGAGGACAACTTTTAAT